AGAGCTGCCTTCTATGTCAGCTCCTCTTCTATTGGCCAATAGAACTTTGGAACCAACGTCACTGCGTCAGACGTTGTGAGGCGTTTAGGTGCAGTCGCTCGGTGCCATCTTTACAGATCACAGATCAAAACAAATGTTATCCCGGTGGTTTTATTGTGTTACCGACTGCAGTGAAGTTATTTTCGAGTTGGATATTGGAAGATCCAATATCCGCCGAGCCAGCGGCGTTTAGCTCAAGTTTGATCCGATTTATGAACGCTAATTTCGACCAGCCGTTCTCCTCAGGCACTCGGAGGTTCACTTCACTTAGGGACCGTCAACAAATCTCCGAATCAAACATTCCTGTCAAACAAATGTCAATAAATGCCTTGCCTTGTGACCAACTGATAAAAAAGTGGTAATTCATGCTTTTACGTGAGACACACTAACCCCTATTAAAAGATCAGGTCATATTCAATATTTTAAATAATTTTAATATTAAATAATATGTTTTCTTCAATGGCTTCCATATTGTGTGCCACATTGACTAGAAATCAGTGTGTAATTGTACTAAACTGTATATATGAGACACATGCATTTTTATTCCATTTTCACTAAATTTTTATTTTTGTTACCGATTTTTTTTTTTAGTTTAAATTTAGTATTTCTCTTCAGTAGCTTCAAGGTTATGTGACCTATTGAATCAAAATCAGTGAGAAATTGTTCTACCAGTCTGTACTATGTGCAATATAGTGTATCTGTTGGTTTATAATCAATATTATATATAAAGATTTTGTTTTATGTTGGGATAATATTGTCCTTGATTTCCATAATTATTCAAGAAAAGAAGAAAACAATTAATTTTTAATTAATCTGATTGTATATTTAGCAAAGTTTTTTTTATCCACTTGTAGATTTAATAGAAAAAAATCCTTGTTTTGTGTTGTTTAAAATTGACATATTTAACTACTTTCAGTTACTATCTCATTGAAAAACTGTAAGGCAATTAAAACAATAATACACACAGTGTATTATTTAACTTTAATTTATGTACAGCATGTTGTAATATCCCTGGCTAGAATAGAATGGAGCATAATTTATTGTTTGTCAATGCACATATGTACAATGAGATTAGATTTTGGCTGATGTTGCTACTTTTATATAGTTTACTTTTATACTTGTTGTATCTTGTTCTTTAATAAAAAAAAAAAAGGTTGACAAGGAGTTTAATTTTAAATGATGGTCAAAAGAAGAAAAATCTCATGTCCTTTCAAATAGTTAAGTTAATCTGAGATAAATTATCAAAGCTTAAGACCGATAAGATATTGAAACTCATATTTCATTTTATGTAGACATTTAAATCATCTGAAGTCATTCATTTCTGTATTTCTGACTGTGTAACAGAATATGTTTCATCTTCTATTTTCTTCTAATTACGTCTTCTATGTTTCCCTATTGTAACATCGTGTGTTCAAATCTAAGACATGATTGTTATGGAGTGAAAGCTTATTCAATCACCACGGAGGCTCAGATGTTTTTTGCTGAACATGTTTGTTCAGTTTTTATTGAGGAGAAAACCTCGACAGCTGATAATGGCAATAGCTGTTCATAACCTAGCAACTGAAATGAACAGAAGGCAAGATACAAAAGACAGAACTAGGTCCTGTTAGCATTCTTCAAAAATAAAATACTTCCTCTGTCCAAATAAATCATGTCTCACACTTAAATATGTTCACTTCACCTTTTGTAATTATATTTAATCATGTTAAATTCAGTTAATAATAATCATCATGTAAATTATGCTTGACATACAATTGTAAATAAGTCACTAATAACATCACTTAACAACATATAAGTGTAAAGAAGTCACAACAATGACTTCTTGTCACTGTACATATGTACCCTAACCCTCTCTCTTCCTTCATGTTCCTTTCAAAATTCATCATCATTCTGTGACACTGAATCCTTCCCATCTCAATCTTTCCCTCATTTTCTTCATGATGCGTTTCACTTCTGTTCAACTTACTTTTACATCTATCTAAAATGTGTTTTGAAGTTTCCTATGCCATTTCTTTTCCTACACCAACATTAGCTGGTATCCATACAAATATAACAATAAATGTTTGTTTTATTTCTAGCAAGATGTCTGGTCTTCTATCTGAACAACTGTTTTTAAGTAATGATGAACTGGAGTCTGAATACACTATGAACTGCTCTCACCTAGCCAATATTATAAGACTATTCAGATAAAAAAAGTGGTCAGGAGCACATTATAAAATTTTCCACTAGTCTCTTGAAATTGCCCTTAGGTGTGTGTATTTCCACGGTTGGTTGTCCTGTGCATCTGCTGCATGTGACAACCTGTCCAGGCCGAACCTTGCCTTGCAAAGAAATCCCACATGGCCCTGCATGGACAAGCAGGTGGATGGATGACTGCATCCAACAATGCAATTTGTATTTACTTGACTTGAAATCTGTCTGTGAGACTGAATTGTCTCTTTTATTTTGTAAAGTGCCGTGAAATGGTAAATGGCCTGTATAGGGCTTTAACTAGTCCAGATGACCCCAAAGTGCTTCACACTACATTCACTCATTCACTTATACAAGTAGTGTATAAGTAGTAAGCTATTGGATTGTCTGACAGGTGAAGCAACCAGCAGGCAAAGGGGTGAAGTGTCCAGCCCAAGGAAACCACAACAGAGATGGACAGAGTGGGGACTATATCCTACCTCCGTTATCACTAATTCACATTTATTGCATATAAATAAACTGAATTGAATTGGAATGATAGTAGAATCAACTTTGTACAATTCATGGCCAATCAACATGCACAGACAGGGGAAAAGTGAAAAAATAAGTATTGTCTGTGATTCCGTTTTCTTATCTCTCTGTTTGGACCATTTTTTGTCACCCTTCATTAAAATACCACTAATTAATTTTGGTGTTTAGTCAAGTACTATTATTTTAACTTTACAGTGGTAGAAAATACAATTATCAGTTTTAAAATGACGGACAAAACTAATTGGTTTCTGTTCGGTGTGACCGCCGCTGCCTGAACAGATCAGGCATCAGGCTTATCTAAGCCTGTCAGTTAGTCTGGTCTGAATCACCATGGTAATTTAGGTGTTACCTCTTTTGTGAAACCGAATTGAGGCTTAATTAAACCAAGATGTCCGGAAAACCCGGACTTAATCCGCTATCCTGGTTTTGTGAAAAAGCCCTAATGTGTGAGTTTAAGGCAAGCTCAAACTGCAAACCAGGAAAGTGGGTTGATTTCGTAGTTTTGAAAGAAAATGAAAGAATGCAAAAGAAAGTAAAACAAAAGAAAAGAAAAAAGAATCGCAATCAAGATGCTTTTTTTCTGTTCCTCTGCTGTTTCATACTCCAATCCAGTTGGTGGCGGCCGCGGTCCTATTTGTCGATTACTGACGATCAAAAGAAAAACGAAAATCCATTTGGACGGAGCTTGAATTTACTCGCTTGTCTTCCTTCCACCCAGAGGTTCGGCCGCAGTTTTCTGCAACCTTAAAAGCAGCCTAACCTTCGTAAGAATGCTCTGAGGTAGCGTGACCGTCCTCTGCTCATCATTTGACTATAATGGATCCGGCAGGCTTCCGTCATGCTTCTAACAGTGAGCTGAACTTTGACCAGCTTTCTAACAAGTGTTTTACTACTTTGCATTGGCACAGGAGGGGCAGTCTGTCAGTCAGTCAGTCAGTCTGTCAGTCTGTAGGTATGTATGTCTGTGTAATAAGCGACACGAGTGTCAGGTTTTCGATGTGTCGCTCGCTGACCTTCATTCATTACCTTATCTACATTGTCATCTCCCTTTCTCCGATTGTTCTGGTTTTCTTGTCTCGTTTCTGTCACAGCGCTGTCCTAAAATCCCTTTCTACTGTGTTGTTATCTGGAGCTAGAGTTAAAGATTTGTTGAGGGCTGTTTCACAAAAATATATGAAAGAAAAATGTGTTATGCCGAGAATTGCAGGCTCTGTCGCGGGAACGCGTGTCGCTCTAAACTCTTGATGAGAAAACCGACTCAAATAGAGGCAACTTTTAAAGATATTCGTAACATTATCATGTTTCTTAACCATGCAAGTCCTAAAATGGTGGGTTTTATGTCGCAGATGAATTTAAACAAATACGGTTTTGACATCTTTATTGAGACACATGAGTCGAACGTTTTACAATCAGTGTCTGATGAATATGTTCTCCGCTCATGGTTTGCAATCAGGTCGCCGCCAGGAATCTTGGGCCCCATGACAAAAAATGAAATTGGGCCCCCTCCTGCTCACCTGCTGTTATAATTCTTGAGTCTATTTGACCCATCAAAAGTGCCACAATTTTAAAGGCTTGCAACTGCCTCTGTTTCTTTGGTTCAATACTGATACTAGCACAATATTTACTGCTAATGAATTTTACATGCAACAGTCTGCATACACTATGCAAATAGGTTGCTTACATTTTTTTAATTAGTTTTAGCTTACTGAAATGTCTCTCCCCACTAGCAACAGTCATAGGCAACTTGCAAAATATACATGAAGCAATCCAGACTTCTCAAAAAAATGCCACATAGTTGCATTTTCTTCAAGTTGCAGGATATAACTTTAATAAAAAAAATGTTTTCTCCATATTTGTTAAAGCTGTTAGCATGTCATGATAGTTTGCTATGAGACAGATAATTGTGAAAAGATCAATGTCCTCCACCTCCTCCCTGAGCTGCTATTGCTAGCTAAAGTAATGCAACGCTCCGGCCAAAAACATCCAATCAGAACCAGGAGGAGGGTCTTAGTGCTGTCAATCAACCTCATTCGCTTACTGCTAAATATGCTAATGGTGGAGAAACAACTTGTCATTTCAGATAACCGTTTAGCTGCCTAACTAGACTTAGCATTCACAACAGGCTGTGCTAAGCTCCAGCATAGCACAGAGTGAGAGGATGAGCAGCCATATGAGATTCTGATTTGCAGCGCTAAAACCCGCCTACTGCCTCTGATTGGTTGTTTCTAGAGAGCACTGGGAGAGGGCAGAGGTTTTTTCTTCTCACATGATCTCTCATACCATACAGTCACAACATCTTGACAGTTGTAACAAATCTGTAAAAATAAAAACAAGACAGTCAAAATGGTAATGGAGAACCAACCGGACATTGTGGTGGTGGAT